CGCTGCTTGCAGCTTTAATATTTTGTTTAAAGTTGTTTGTCTGTTTTTTTTTTTTCCAAAGTCTAGATTTTTTTTCCCCAGTAAACTAAAATCTATTTATACATATTTAAAAAGTATTTTGCAAGTTTAACAGAAGGTGCAAACTTTTATTAGTACAAAAGTGATCAGTACATCTTAGAGTATATGGTGTACAAATATATTTAATAGCATAGTTAAAACACTAACTTAGAAATACTTTTGTTACTATTTTAATCCTTCTTTCTATGTGTGTCTCATGTTTCTCTCTCTGAGTTTTTAGACCTGTGAATCCAGCAGTCACTTATTTTAGGGTTAAAATTAAATAAAAGGTTTGTGCATAGGGAATATAACTGTAACAGAAATGCGTGTGTGGAAGAAGCTTCAGTTCTATTTGCAGGTGCAGCAGATGAACACGTACCAATAATATTTGTAGCTTTCTCCATCTCAGGAATGTAAGAAATGAAGGTTGAAACCGCAGTTTCCCATTCGCCTGGAAGCTTCACTCCCCAGTAAACAGCCAGATAAAACCAGTCACAATCTAATCAAGCACAGAAACCCGCTGGAGACATCAACTCCAACTACACAAGTGTTTTGTCTCAGCGTGCACAAACACAAAATCAGTCAAGTCTTAGACAGACGAAAAGCTTCTTATTATTTCTAATGTAATTTGCCTTTATGGCGAGACAGGAGCTGAATTTCAGGGAGTGCAACGTTAAAAAAACACTGCCAAGACATGAAGTTCGCATAAAAGATGCAGAAGCACCTGTGCAAACAACACAAAAGAACACGAACACACACACACACACACGCTCGGACATTAATGTTTAGGCTGCAGGTGTTTTGTCTCGGTGATTGTTCTATACTTAGAATGAGTTCTGGTTCAGAGAAACGTTGTTTGAGAGGTTTATCGTGGCTGAGAGAGCAGGTGTGTGACCCTCTTGGGTTTGACAGAACATTCCCCCGTGCTAATGTTTCTTCTTAACCTTTTATATGAGCGTTGGAGCTGACTGGAAACACATTGTCATTGATAGCGATGACACGAGGGAGGAGCTGCTGATAGCGGGAGCCTTACGCCCATTCACATCGCTTTCGGTACAGCTGGTCATTGAGCGGCTCTGCTGGGACTCTTGGGAGCTGTTAAGAGCTAAAAATTCCTGCTCAAGGTTTCTTCCAAGTCTTTCATAATGGACGAGAGTGATTTGACAGATGCACAGAAGCAGTACGGAATAAAAGGAACGTTTTAAAAACTTGTTCCTAAGCAAACATCACAAGACAAGCAGACAAATGACGCTAATTGTGATGACAGATAATACAGTAGATCTTAATCTTGTGTGTGCAGTGCGTGCATGTTCCTGTTTTTAAGTTAAATAATATGTCCGGATATATTCTGACAAGCTTGTGGGTGCAGTATATCTGCATGTGTCTATCAAAATATAAAATATATACAATAAAATACGCTATAAAACAATGTATCTCAAAACTTGGCAGAAATGTAATATAATATTTATAGGAATATTTTATTCAGTGTATAATCAACTGAATATAAGAATTTCTGTGTTTTTGTTAGAATGAGACGTTTTGTTAGCGGGTCCTCTCCTGGCGCAGTCCGCCATGTTTAACCGCTATGTTCCAGTCTAGAACATACAAACCAAACACTAGTTTCTCCTACACACCTTTTGATTCTGAGGGCGTCAAATACAGACGCGAGCAGCGTTCAGTTACTTGCAATCTGCAACTTCACCACTAGATGCCACTAAATCCTGCACACTGGTCCTTTAAAAGGGTACTCATTCTGCGACTATAAAAAGTGACTGAAATTACATTGATGTACATAAATAAGTGTATGCTTGTGTGTGCGTAACACGGGCACCCACCTAATGATGAAGGGCATGAAAGGAGCGAGTCCCAGAGGTGAAGAAGATCCATCCATGGGAGAAGGGTAGAGTCGACTGAGCACCAGTAGCAGTAGGAACAGACTGGGGTGAAGCTTCACCTGACCACTGTCACTAAACACACACACAAACAGATTTTAACAAAAGAAACGTTAATGCCACAGACATGTACAATGAACACAGCAGCCTATAGATCCATGCGTGCAGTAACTGTAGGGAGTGGAGCTACTCTAGATGACCTTAAATGTAGCTTCTGCTTCTTTTTTGGCCTCTGAGGTTTTTTCAAGTAGAAAGGGGTTTTTGGGGATGTTTTCCTTCCAAGTGTTGAGTATGCTTTAAATGACCTCGTTTGTAAGAAATGCTGTCTGAACATGTCTGAGGGTAAAAGTGTTTATGGCTGTTCTGGGCTCAGTCACAGGTGGGGTGAAAAGCCTGCAGTTATAGAGAGGGGTGAGACGTGATCAATCATTTAAATTAAGATCCTGGCGCACACTGTTGGACAGTCTCTCCTCAGAGGCAGAAGCACGCTGACACCTTTCGCGTTTGCCTTAGGTTTGGTTAGAGAGTCTATTAAGACATAGTTTCTAAAACTTTTAACACCTCGTACCACCTCCGAAAATATTAGGACAGTTCACGCAGGAGGCAGGTTTATTCCTGATAGGAAGGATGAATTATTACTGTCAGCCAGAGACACACTGTACAAAGGGCTCTTCAACTCTTCCACACAGTAACTATGGATGTGTGTGTGCTGCATGCATCAACGTGACCACGAAGCACGCTGATATTCTAACAAAAAATCTATTATAGGAAATGCAAAACTTATTTTAAATTACATTTCAGCAATGTCATGGTTTAAGTTTTTTTTATTTGAAATTATGTCGTATTTTGATTGTGTTCTATTTTAAAATGTATTTATTTCTCTGCATACCATCAGATGGTTCTCGTGTACGTGTGCAAGATTTGATTTAAGATATAGTAAAGGATGTGATATTGGGCAATACATATCAACTGACAGAGAATAGCTGTTATAAACAACTAAAAAGAGACAAGTTTGTGAATCAAATCTCAGCATTTATCCTGCAAGTTAATGTCAGTATACACCGTTCATATTCAGCTATCCTGTCCTGCCTGTAAGACTAAAATATACGATCACAAACAACTAGACTTTTGCCAATAACGTGACCTACTTGAGGAGCTCTGATCAGCACAATTTAGAGCATATTTGTTTATAGATTTGTCTTATAGGAATGGTTTGACATGTTGGTAATTACATTTATTAGAGTTAGAAGAAGATCATTACTCTCGTCATGCTCTCTGTACGCTAAATATAAAGATAGAGCCTGCAGGTGAGTAGCTAGCTTAGCATAAAGATTGGAAACAAGCACGCTAGCAGCACCTCTAAAGCTGACTAATTAAAATGGTACATCTTATAAGTTTAATGCATTCACAATAGTAAAAATGAAAACTTCTGGTTTTACTTATGTAACTAGTCTCAGCTTTGCTAAGCCAAACAAACGTGTAGTATTAATCTTCTCATCCAATCCAAGGCAAAGTGTGTATTTCCCAAAATATTCCTTCAAAGTCCTTTATTGTGTTATCTTTGTTGAGATACTGCAGCTATAGCAGTTCAAGACAAATAAACAAGTCTGGTTGCAATTCTAGTGTGTTCACAATCAGGATCAAACAGCAATATGGCTGACGCATGAAACCACATATAATCAAAATTCCAAACTAAAATAGGCCTAAATTCCTCCAGCTCTTTAATACACACTGCGTATCTCAAACCACCCACACTCAATACAGTCATCTCCTCATCCCGTCCTTGAGCTGAGCTTTTCACCTCCCTCTTTTCCGTCCATCCAAATCTCCTCACTACCAACTGAGTCAGAATGGAAACTGACTGTCTCCGCCAGCGGTTTCACAGTTTCACTCTGACACACTCGCAAGTGAAGTGAAGGAAAGGAGGGAGGAAAATTGAGACAACAGACAAGAAATCCAGCGACAAAAAGTTAGGAAAATGACGAAAACGCCAGGTATCCAATCTGGATGAATAAAACAGTTTTATTCCTTCTTGTCCTGCTGTCAGCTCTCTGAGGGATGAATGGAGCAGTAATCAACTCCCCCAAAAGGTTCAGTGAGTTTTAGATCTGCTCCAGGTTTTTACGCAGTACGTGAGGTGAAAATATCTCATAGTATGGGAATAAAAATAGTGTTTGCATTGCAGGGAGCGCCTGCAGCGGAGCTTTGTGTATGTGTGAGAATATGCAAGGTCTGCTTTTATGAGTGTATCAGGAGACCCAGGTGTCCTTCAGGTCCTGTCATTAGTCATGAGTATCTGAACAACAGACCCGCCTGTGAAACTACTTGTGCTTTTCATTACTTCATTCAACAACACATACACAGAACCATCCGCTGGGACCGCCACAGATCGGCGAGATGGGAAACGGAATAGCAGCCCAATTAGCGACCAGTCCAATGTGTTTAGTGTCACAGTTTAGTCAAGCACAGTGGGACGGGATGTGATGTCACACAGACAGGAGGGGGAGGGCAGATAGAGGGCAACTGCAAACATATTAGGCCCTGTTGGGATACAGCTGGAGGCAGAAACACTTGACAGGATGGAAAAGAGACTCAATGGCATTTAATAGCTCAAATTCCACACTGAGGTCTTCCATGAACGTCTGCCCCCTCTCCCTAAACTCCTCAATCATCTCCAGTACGCCGGTTGTTTGATGAAAGGGTTATTTTGGTTTTACATCTTTTTAAAGAGAGTGGAAACAGAACACTGACCTTAAGTATTTTTATTCTTCATTTATAAAAGCAGAGAGAGAGACACAGTAGCAGAGACACAAAAGAAGCTCTAAAGTAAACTAAAAGCTTTAGCTTAACATTTAGTTAGCTCTCAGGCAAATAAATCACCAGTCTTGTTTAAAGAATTAGAGAAAAGTACTTGGACTGTGATATGAAAACTGTTTTCTTTGGAAGTGGACGCAGTGGTAGATAAGACTACGTGTACTGTAACAAATCCCTGCACAGCAGTTTAACATTTGGGAACTGACCTGAAATAGTTTCAGAGATAAACACGTTTGCTACACAGAGATAAAAAGATTAATTCACAGGCCATATAAAAAGCACAAACATCATTTTATAACTTAAAAAGTTGATCTCCGTAGCTGTTGCTCCAGCTCTTCATGTCCAAATCAAACTTCAGCTAAAACTTCATCTAAAAAGTGACACATACGAGCACACAGTGCAGCTGGAGGACTGACTGTACTCGCCACAGAATGGACTTTGTGACTCAAGGTAAAGCAGATGACACCAAAAATAAAACAAAGACAACATGGGCTCTGCTTGCAGCCAGGAGGGAAAATAACTGGTAGAAAAGATAGAAAGAGTCACTCAAACAAACACAAAGACTATTTTAGTCTAGTTTTAGGTCCATGCATGAGCACAAACTGCTCCCAGGTAGAATCCATCCACACATGGACTTCTGATAATCTGATAAAACAAACTCTGATCCAACGTGAATAACAGACACTGGTCTAGGATATTCTTAGTCCCTGTATGTGTGTGTATAATGTATAATGCAGAATGTGTTTCTTTATTTCTCTGTGAAATTGTATTTTTATTTAAGTTTAGATAATATGTAAGACTGTTAAAAAGAAAATAGACAGAACTGTATTAAAAGTTACTAGAAATATCAGTAAAACTCATCTCAGATCAATATTTACAGGAAATAATCTGCTCAAAATGTATCAAAATCTCTTGTTTTAAACAAACTTCCTGCAGTTATTGTGTTCACTGTTCGTGTTCATTGTACAGTTTATCAGTTGTTCTCTACTGTTATTTTTTGTGCATTAAATATAATATGAAATATCTATAAAATATGTCACTTTGTGTTGTCGGTTTACTCACTGATTTAAAAGGGGTCTCTTAAGGATAACTGTTGGGAACCACTGTATTAAAGGATCTATTGGTCCAGAGGTAGGAGTGAAGGTAACATGAACTATTAGGAATAATATGGTACCAGAAATTTAGTCGATACGAATACCACTGAAATTCAACTGTTCTTGATACTAATTCAATACCACTGTAAAAATGTCCTGATCAAGTTATTTTAGCCCCGATTTCCATTTAATACAGAGTATCAGCTGATACTGAGTTCTGATCCAATATCTGTATTTTCCTAAATTAATACAGGTGAATAGCTATGCATGGTATTAAGAATAAAAATGACTGCATCCAAGCTGTTTGGTGCACTTGGTGCCATCTTCAACATATAGTATTATACATATAGTATGTTCTTCCGATGGCATTTGACAGGGGTCCACAAAGTATTCTTGTGACACCCATGTGTATTATATGTTATATGTTATTATATGAGAGGAAATATAATCCATCCAAAGACAATTATGTGTTGTTTTTAAGACTAAAACATTATAAAAACTGAAACCAAAAGACGGTCTAATGGTCAGCTATTGCAGAAACCAATCATTAATATTTCAGGACTGCGTGCAGAATTTTGAAGATATTGTCTTTAACAATCACAGGTCCAAAGCCAGTTCAGGCTGTATCTTAACATGCACTTTAAAGCTTATGTTCTTTACCACCTGAGAAAAAGTACAAAACATGTCTCTTATCTGAATGTTAAATTACAGCCATATTCTGTCCGTCTTTTGTGGATCTTACACTTTAAATTCTCCTTCCAACTGTCTGTACGTCAGTTTTTTGATTACTCAACTATCTTTCCACACAGGGTTGTTTTTCATTCATAACTCTTGTGGAGGGAGGCTGGATTACATAGTACATAATGTACACACACAGTTCCAAATCTCATTTCTATAATCTTTCATATATTGTGACTTATTTTGGGAATGCCCTTGTGCTGCAACTTCCACAAGGCTTTCTAAAACCACTAACAGCAGCTCTCTTGCCTCCTGTCCTGCTGTGTATTGCTACAGTGTGGTGTGGTTGGTCTGTTTGGGTGGTGCGATACACAGAGATGATGTGGGAAGTCGGAGAGCCGAGGTCTGGTTCCGTGGGAAATTCACAAATGTTTTAACAAGGGTCGAAGGGAGTGAGGGGAATTGTGAAAGAGCCAGTCTGAAAAAGCATTCAATTAATTGGATCCATATTAAGATAAGGCTGCCTGGGGAGCTGTTGGACGACTCGAATGCTTTTAAAAAGGGGAGTTCGGGCTGAACTAAAGAAGATAAGGCCAATGAACCTCAGTAGACTCAACTCCCCACTGCAAAGAAACAAAACAAAATCGCAACAAGACATTTACTTTATTCGGCCGTAAAGTCTTACACTGTGAGCAAATAGTTTGAGTTGAACAAGTGATACTTTAAAAAAAAAAAAAAGAGCCCACACAAGAACTCCATCGAGGGCAATGCTAAATGATTAAAAAGTTCATAGTTCAGACTTAAGAAAATCAACCTTTAGGAGTGTCCCTAACTTTAACCTCTCCACTGCTTAATCAGCTTAAGAAAACAATGTCTCATATGGCTTGAATGGAAGTTAAATTAAACCTATAATGGCATCAAGGAAGTGTGAAAAGCCATGGCGAGGGCTGAATGTGGAGTTTGGATTAATGGTGGACCACCTCACCTTTCCACCGTGGCTGCAGCCTCCTCCAGCTGGTTCAGAAGGAACGGATAGAGAGCCGGAAAACGGGTGAAAAACTCTCGGCCCGTCATTCTGAGTGGAGAAAGAGAGACAGGGAGAATTTATAAATAATAATAACGCACTTATTAAGGCATATATTTAGGGAAATAAGGATTCTTAAACAGGCAGAGTCACCAAAGACCTGCAACACTATATTTTCAATCTGCACAAGTTTAAAAATATCACATTTTGGGACTTTGGAGGCTCCGTAGTTTATCCACCGTGTTATTTAACAGTTCCAGACTTAACTTTTCATGCTTATAGAACTTTATAATTATTTTTAACTAGACCACTGCTTTTTCTGGCACATTAAGAAGCCAAAGAAAGTTCACATCCCACCACCCAACAATTCTTATCAAACATTAAAAGTCCAGTATGTAACATTTAGGAGGCTCTACCGGCAGAAATGGAATATAATATTCATAGGTATGTTTTCATTAGTGTATAAACACCTGAATATAGAAATCATTATCGCATGCAAGCTGACTTTGACATATAAAATACTGTATGTGTCCCTTTAAACCACATAGATTGTGAAAGATTGGTAATAACTACCATAAAACAGAAAGAGGAACTGAGAGGGAAGAGACAGAGACAGAAAGAGAACTAACAAAACTACTGCTGTGCACGCAGAGCATGAACAACCAACTGAACACCCCTCACGTTGGTAATTGACAACAGAGGAATGAGAACGGGCTGTAGGAGAAACTACGGAGGCTGCAAAACACCAAAATGTAAAAAAGTAGAAAAATGGCACTTCAACATGGCGGAATCGGCAGAAGAGGACCATAAGGTAACAAAAACACAATAATTCTTATATTCAGGTGATTATACACTAATAAAAACATATTTAAGATCCTCCTAAATGTTACACACTGGACCTTTAACAATGCCATTAGTATTAGAAAGAAGCTAAACTTTGTTGAATACTTTAGTATACTGCATAAGAATTCAGTGACATCACTAATTACTGTCAACAGAGAACACAAATAATCAGGAATAATTTCAATTACAGTCCATTAAATTACCTGATTCAATAATCGTGACATAACAACAAACAGCCAGAAGCAGAGGAGGGGAAATAATGGAGAGTGCTTTTAGTCATATGTTGTGAAGCTCTGATAAGGAGACGGAAATGTGCCAAACAAATTCAGCCTCTATGTTTGTTAACCCTGCTACAGCTAGAAGTAAACACTCGTATGCACATATAGAGCGCCATGTGCCGCAGCCGCGTGTGTCTGTGCTTATGTATTCACCCAAACACATACACAACTGTCAATAAAGTGACAAACTTTATATTTAAACACCGGCGGTCTTGCTGCTGCGACCGCCATTCAGCCTCAGGGCCAATAAAGTTTTTATTTAACTCTGCCCGTCTAAATCAAGTCGCTCCTAAAGGGAAGAGATCTGGTCTGCCAAGCACATGATCACAAGACTGGAGAGCAGATCGCGTACTGCTTCAGTAACAACTGCCACTGATTCTGGACTCTCACACACAGACACACACAG